GTGTTTACATAAACTTAAGTTATACCATCATATGTACATACAACAACGACATCTTTCAATGTATTATATTTTATATAGACTCTTTTTGTGCACATTATGGAGGTGTATCTATCAATCTGATTGGTTATTTAGTCCTTCAGTGTGAACGGACAAGAAATTTAAAACGCGTTAACTTACAGCAGTGTTCAGACTTCCGAAAAAGGAAATTTCGGAAATTTTGGAAATTTCCAACATTAATGTTTTGAATTGTTCAGTATTTCCGAAAATGATGTAATTTCCGAAATTTCCAAAATTTCCATAATTATGTACTTACCGAAATTTCGGAAATTAGTGAAATTTCTAAAATTTCTGAAATTTCCAACACTGTTAAAAACTTTTGATTTGCATTGTCATGTAGTTTTCAAAATTGTGGAAGTTTCAGAAATTTCTGTAATTTCCTTTTTCGGAAATCTGACCATACCTCTTAACTTAACACGTTTGGTAGTGTGTTCTATGCCTTAGTGGGGCCAAAGAGATTAGTTGTCGGCAGTATTGTTCTAGGCTATCGCGTTGAACAAAATCGTGAAATTTGGGCTTCCATCACATACCAAACAGTCAGCTTTTTCGAGTGAATCAGTGTCGGACGATTTCATTTTTATATCGTAATTCTTTTTCGTGGTCTACTCTTTTGAGCAAAAATAATTGACTTCAGGCCTTGAAAGTTATGCGACTGCACCGGAAATCGTATCACGTATTTCAGATCTAGAGCGAAACCTTGTTCACGCTTTTGTTTTTAAATAAATTATGTGTTACATATTTATATTATCATATATTTTTACTGTAGGACTTCAGGAAAATGCGTTCCAACATGAATACGGATACAGGCATTTTGAGCACAGAAGAATGTCGAGCTAGAAAATATCGGAAATGTAATAGATTTCAATACTACCTGATGATCATGTTCACATAAAGCATCTTCGGTTTTATTTGAGCCCTATCTAAGGACATATTAGTAGTATGGAATTCAATGTTCTATAGTATTGTGTCCTGGTTTCAAAATTGAACTAAACGAGAGTTGCGAGACTGAGGTATTGCTTGTTTTTAACATGTTTTGGGAATATTTTCCAAGCTCAGCTGTAAAAAAAAACAACTTTTATGCTGCGTAATGCTTTTCTTCGTGCACACACTGGTCGATACTCGATAAGCAAAGTAAATAAAAATAAATGAGTGCACGTTGTCGCAAAACGCATTTGTTGATTGCTTTTTATTATGTCCTTGGAAAATGTTTTCTTTTTTTCTTCTCTGGACGAAAGCTTGTGTTACAAGCGAAGGTGCACACTTTCACTCTTGAATCAACAGAAGAACACTGATATATGCATCAACAACATGCATCGTATTATGAATGTTTATGTGATTGCTATCGAAGAAAATTTTCTCTCTCTAGTTAAACACAAAGGTAAAATGGCGAGATAAAAGAATTTTTTGTGCGCCAAACGGCAAACGACTGTGGGTATATTGATAAAAAGTATGTTTTTTGCTCGAACAGAATGTGTCTTAGTTGCAAATCTTTCGTATGTGCCCTTCCGAGTAAGTAAACATTCGAATTTCAATAGTCTCAAAGACCGCGATTCACACAAAATGAATCAATTTTCGGATATCAACCTCGACAATAGCTACTGTACTCTCATTCCTTGGTATTGTGTTTTTGCACTGGTATTCTTTGAAACATTCTTGGAGTTGACAGTGCTACTCATCGATGCATTATATCATTACCTTGAAGCAGCACAGAATATTGAAACAATTCATCAGAGTGCGATCAGATTCATGATAAAACGGCTGCTGAGCATTTGTGCAGTATGGCTGACATCTGCAAACAGTTTCTATCGACTATCTAATCTAGTTTTACAGTTGACATCTCGATGCTACTCTAAGTCATGTTTTGCTTATCTGCAACTACTTAGAGACATTCAGAAAGTTACGCATGGCGATGCAAAAATAAATACAGAGGTGTTTCTCATTGATAGTTCAAGCGTCATAAGAACTAACAGATAAAATAAGACATTCAAAATTAAAGAAATATGTTAAGGGCAGGAAGAAAAGTGCGAATGAGTATCGACGGAGTTGTGAATCGTAGTAAAATGAAGATCCTTATCCAGATACACATGCTCATGTACATCCATCCGCAACTCATACCGGTTCCTCTCTCGGCCTGGGATGCTGCATTATCAGTCGCACCTATAAATTACGAAAAGAAACAAGCACATTTGTCCACACTGATATATAACCACGTTAGGCCACAGGGAACACATACCAATACCCTATCAACTAAGAACCCCGTACTCAACTACTTATTCATTTGAAAACAGTCATACACAAGCGTACACTGACTCACTAACAGCGGCACCTACCTCTATTTTGATAAGCCCACGTCCAAAAGACAATAACATCCAAAACTGACACCTACTCGTATTCATTAACACATCCAACCGGACAGTCAGCTCTTTACACAAATTAGCCTGCATCATGACAGTCTGAATGTACACCGAGACGAACACCCACATTTCTACTTGCGCTCAGGATGTGGGTGTGGGTGTGAGTAAAAAGAAAAGCTCTACACACACACTCACACTCACACTCACACCCCACACCCACCTCTACTCGCGATTAGGGTGTGAGGGGTGGGGTGGGAGTGAGGGTGCGGGTGGGATGGGAGTGAGGGTGCGTGGGTGTGGGAGTGCGGGTGGAATTGAGGGTGCGGCTGGGTGTGAGGGTGTGTGCGTGTGGGGGTGGGGTTGGAGTGAGGGTGTCTGGGTGTGAGTAAAAAGAAAAGCTCTACGCACACACACACGCACACTCAACACCCACATCCAACCCCCAACCCCACCCTCACCCACACCTACAGCCAACTACACTCATCCGCGCCCATCAAAACCCACACCTCCCACGAGACAAAAGTAGTCTGGTGTGAAACCTCTTGATTAGACATCGGCGTGATCAATATTTTTTGGTCACGGTTACGGTCACAGTCACGATCGTTGCCATCCTGACCATGACCGTGAGTCACGGTTAGCACGCCAATGTCTATTGGAACGGCTATTTTCTTTTTCTCAAAATAGCATACCCTTCTCTTTCAATAGAAGGTCTCTATATTAGAAGACTTCCCATGATAGAAGATCTCCTTCAAGAAAATATGTGCAAGACTTAATATAAGATCTCATTCAATTAATTAATGTTTCGGAAAATGACAACTTCAATTCTTGGATTTACACCATAATATGCCTAGTTTTCAGAATTTTGAGCTGAAAATCTTAACTGAGTGTTTTCAACATTCTATCTAGCCTTTTAAAATCCTAAAAATTCCTTCTCAAAGCCCCGAAATCGCTTTGACTCTCTGAACAACCTTTTTAGTTAAAACTGTGAAAACAAGAGAGACACAATAGAAGATCCCCTGAAAATCTTTTGCGATTGGATACAATAAAAAACCTTGAATCTTGTCGTGCGGAGGAGCAACAGGTAATATAACAGATAAACGAACAAGATTAGATATGAAAACAAATCGATCAATTTATATTTTTCAGAAAAAATCTTAAAGTTCTTGCAACTTTATTTGACCAAAGCCTGAGTGGGAATGAACGAAATCAGAACAAATGGAGAAATGATCAATCATCGAGTCCCCCCGCGCCCCATCAGAGATGGAAACGGTACCGATTACCGGCCGGTCCGGTCCGGTACCGGTATGACTTTTAGACCGGCCGGTAACCGATAAACCGACCAGCCTAACCTTTTCAGACTAAACCCCCCTCCAATAAAAGACCCCGGATCTTCTATTATGGTCCAGCGAACTTTTGTAAATTTTGTAAATTTTAGCTGGTGAAAAAAAGAAATTTCTATGAAGTGACTCCTCCGGAGGGGTCCTCTAAAACGGGGGTCTTCTAATATGGGGGGTCTTTTATTATGAGGGGGGTTTAGTATCAATACTAGTTGTCAAAAATTCAGACTGATTCCATACTATATCAGACATGTGATACAACTTGGCAAATCAAATTTGCCATGCGACAAATCGTGTTCTCTGTCTCTAAACTGCTATTTTTCTTCTGACTGTGAATTATCGATGTATCATACGTTACTGATAGGCCGGTCGGTCACCGGTAGACCGGTTCCATCTGTGCCCCCGTAATAGAAGACCCTGGATCTTCTATCATGTCTCAGCGTAAAAATTTTTCAGCGGGGTCTTGTATTACGTCCCATATTTTTCCCAATTTCTAATTAAAAGACTTTTCCAGAAAACCAATCCGTCTTTCAGGTTTTTCACTAGGGTTTTGAGAATTTTAAAGAGCTACGGATAACTTTGGACTCACTTCCTTAAGACTCCCTGCCTTAAACTCTAACAACTAGGCATATTTTCACAGAAGTCTACTAATTAAAGCTCCTAATTAGCAAAAAATTAATTAATTAAAGGGGG